AGAGCTCCATTTGGAACGCGACCAGTGCTCCATCCCTGCAGGTGTCGCGGATGTCAAGTTCCAGGATCATGAGTGGTGGGTGAGTTTCAGGCGGCCCGCCGGGCCCGCCCTACGCACGCGTCTGGGTGCGCGACGGGGAACGGCAGCCCATAAAGAACAGGAGATGGAGGAGGAGAAGGAGGAGGAGATGGCTTGCTTCGAGGAGGAAGAGAAGGGAGGAGGAGGAGGAGGAGGAGGAGGAGGAGGAGGAGGAGGAGGAGGAGGAGGAGCGCGACGACACGCACGTGTTGGAGGAGAGGGAGGAAGACGACGCAGAGGACCAGGACGAGAGGGGAAGCTGGGGAAGACCGGGCGGGCCTCGGCTCAGGGCGCGCTCGGGGGCGGGTTGCGCCAGGCCTTCTTGTGGGGGCCAGTGGCCCCCTGCAAGCAAGCCACCGTGCGCGGCCGCCGTCCTTCTAGGGAAGACACTCCAGGAGGGGAGAACACACGCAGACACAATTCATCGTCGGTTCCCCCGAGAATTTGGGAAAACATGGGAAGTGGCGGAGGGGACGAAAACCCCAAACATACAGTCAACGCGCCTAGTACGGACGCGCGCCTTCATCTAGGGTACCCTTGCGTCCTTGCCTGTGAGGCTCGCCCTTGCCATTATCACTGGTCGCCCGCCGCCCTAAGAAACCTCCAAGGGTCTTGCGTCCTTACCTCGCGTCCTTACTCTACGTTTTGACTGTATAGGAAAATACCAGGGCATTGTGTTGTTGGTGTGCATTTCTTCGTGTGTCCTTGGGCGCCCCAGCGCTGTCCGCCGCGGCGAGGGGAGAACACACGCAGACACAACTAATCGTCGATTCCCTTGAGAATATGGGAGGATATGGGCAGTGTGGGGGGGGGAGACGAACCCCCCAAATAACTTTATATATATATATAGGAAAATACCAGAATGACAATCGGCCCGAATCAGAACCGTGACCAGGACCAATCTTTGTCACAATTGTGGTCCGGTTCCATGAATATTCTTCGAATGTTATCAAGGCTAATCGACCCGAACCAGAAACGTGACCAGAACCCATCCTGGTCACAACTCCGTGATTGGTGTGCGTTTCTTCGTGTGTCCTTCGGCCCCCCGGCGCTGTCCGCCCCCCTCGCCGCGAGGCGGCCCCCCCGCCGCGCGGCGGGCCCGGCCGCGCCCCTCTAGAGGTGATGCGGGATGCGGAGTCCTCCTCTTCATCCTCATCCTCATCCTCATCCCTCCTCCTCCTCCTCCTCCTCCTCCTCCTCCTCCTCCTCTCTGATATTGTTCCCATTCCTCCCCCCTCCGAGTCGGGCAGAGTCGGGCGCAGACGTTCGGGCCGCAGGAGACTCGGCCACGATGTCCCGTGAACGCGTGTCATAGCATCTGCGCCGCCGTGCCTGGCATCCCTTGTGGCCTGCATGCGCTGTATTTTGCGCGCTCCAACTAGACGTGGTCGGCTCGATCAGATCGGGCCGGACGAAAGGGGGGGAATGTACGGAAAGGGGGGGGCCCGAAATTTGCGGCCTGCAGCTGGTTTCGGCCCCACCGAGGGGCCCAGGCCTCGATGCATGGGCCGCCTGCGGCGCCGGGAGGCGCCGGGAAGACCAGCTGCGTGGGCTGATTCTCAAAACCCCCCCCTTTGCTATCCCCCCCTTTCGCCCGACCCGAGACTTGCCCGCGCCGTGAGCAGTCACTGCGAGGGGTGGCGTTGTGCCGTGCTCGGCCGGCGCGGGCCCTCGCCGGGCCCCGGGGCCGTCCACAGAAGCATGCGTAAGAGAGTGACCTTTCGCTGGAGTGACCTTTGGTGCGGGCACGGATGGGTGAGCTCCTCCCTCCTCCTCCTCCTCCTCCTCCTCCGCCGCCGCCGCCGCCTCCTCCGCCTCCTCCTCCTCCTCCTCCTCCTCCTCCTCCCCAGATGGCTGAAAACGAAGCAGGAGCAGCGGCTTGCGCGCCCAGGTTTGGTGCCCCCTGCGGCGCTCAAGAAGCCGCGCACCAAAGGTCACTCTTACCCAGGGTCACTCTTGCGTGGAGCCGAAGCATTCTGGATGAAAATTCTGCCCCGGGGAAAGGGTCTGGACTCCCTTGGGGGGGCCGTACATCACAACTCAAGACATCGGATGTCTGCAGGGGAGTCCTCGGGGCGGTCTTGGAACGCTCCTGGTGGCGTCTGGGAGGAAGGGTTGCGGCCGTTTTGGCGTCCGTGGAGGGACTGGAAGGGGGGGGGGCCCTGCCTGCTTCTTTTTGCATCCTGCCGGCCGCCTCCCAAAAAGGCGTACCCATCGGTCGCTGAAAGTATTTAGTTCTGGATTCCCAGAACCCAATCTACTTCAAGCGCCTTCCTGCTTCAAGAGTCGATGTGCGTTTGCTGCGTTCTGTCATTCCGTGGGCGGGCCCGAACCCAGTCTGCTCGATCCGCCTTCCTGCTTCATGTTTCTACCTACCGTGCCGTTTTTAATACATGCTCCGCGTGCGGATCATGTATGAAACATGCAGGGACTTAGTATTAGAAACAACGATGCGTTCATGCATAAAATTATGCACATATTAATCAGGCATTAAAAATCGCAGATTAAAAAAAAATCCCATGTATTAAGAATTGCCCTGTACTTCCTCCGACCGATGGGTAATTACGCATCGACCTGGGCCGAGAATGGGCACGTCCGAGGTCGGTGTGGGTGCGGACGGGCGCCCTCCCTGCAGTGGGGGCCCCTGCCAAGAATCAGGCCCTGCTCGCCTCCAGGCCGCCCCTTGGCATCGCTCGGACGTGTGCATTTTTCCTTCGGCGAGGACCATTGAGGAGCATCCTTGATCATTTGGCGAAAAAACCAAGCACGAAACCGAAAACAGCACTGGGAATGGACGCCCGAGCGATGGCCAGGCCCTGGGTTTCGTGGGTTTCGATGGCTTTGCCATGGCAAGCGTGGCGCGTCCCCACACCAAGAGGCAATGGACGTCCCGGGGTCTCAGGGCCGGGTGTCCTGTGGGAGGCTTCTCTGTGGAAGGGGCCCTGCGGTGCAGCGGCTGGAGGCTGGAGCTCCCGCGGCCCCCGCCCCCCTCCCCCTCTCCCCTCAGGGGCAGCTTGCGGAGGAGACAGGCTCAGGAGGGCGACGCATCGACGACCCCCAATCGCCCGTTGAGATCGCCCACGGGGGCCGATAGCCCACCCCGCCCAGGAACGTGCGGATTCGCTATCGGGGGCCTGTCTCGAAAGCTGGGCGAGGGCTGCTAAAACCGTGGCTGCTAAAACGGCCCTCCCGGAAGGAATAAACAACTTCCCGGAATGAGGCGCGGCACGCGAAACAGTCAACGGGCTTCTTCCCGGAAGGACGAAGACAACTTCCCGAAGGTCGATTTTAGCAGCCACCGATTTAGCAGCCCTTGCCCGGCTTCCGACTGTCGCAGACCTGTGAGGCATCGGCGCTGTATCGCCGCTTCCAGGACACTGTTCCTCCCCCTTGAGCCCATTCCCCCCGGTCGTTGCCCCTCGCCGTTGATCGCCAATGGGGGCCGATAGCCCACCCCGCCCAGGAACGTGCGGATGCGCTATCGGGGGCCTATCGCAGACTTGTGAGGCATCGGCGCTGTATCGCCGTTCCCAGGACACTGTTCCTCTCCCCTTGAGCCCATTCCCCCTGGGCGTTGCCCCTCGCCCCGCTCACCCCCCAGGACGGAGCGCCCATCGTCGTCGACCCCAGGCCGCCGCCGCCGCCGCCTGGGGCCGGGTGTCGCGCCCGTGGGAATGCTTCGGAGGCCCAGGCCCCCTCTTCTACTTCTTCTTCTTGTTCTTCTTCTTCTTCTTCTTCTTATTATCATTGTTATTATTATTGCAGCACGTTTCTTGCCTCAGATCCGACTTTCCGAAGAAAGGCAACACGGAGCAAGTCACGACCAGAGCCCCAGACCCCATCTCCCTGCACCGTTTTCCGAGACCGATCGGTCCTCGAGGATCCCGGGGACCGAAACTGGGCGAAAACACCCGCTGGTTATAACAAACGCAGCTCCAGGATTTGAGGCTTGGTCCCAGCCTCGTCCGTGCGCACACCTCGGACCCTGATTTGCGAGCCCCTCTCTCCGTCGCCCCCACTCGACGACGACGACGACGACGTCGAACGACGGCGGCGACGACGACGACGACGACGACGTCGAACGACGACGACGAGCCAGATTTCTCGAATCGACGCTGGAGCCCCTTGGCGCGCTCCGCGCGCCAGGGAGGGAGATCGAGCGCGGATCCAAGAAATCGGGGTGGACCTCCAAACAATTATGTTGTGTTGTTGTGAACTCCTTACGGCCGGCGCCGCCGACCCCGAAAGGGGACAACGACCACGAAGCTCATGCCTCCAAGACAAGCCATTTCAGACCCCCCCCCGTGGGAGAACCCTCCAAAACACCGTCCCCAGACCCCCCCAGGCCCTCCAAGATAGCCTGGAAGAGACCCCCCCCGAAATGAGACCCCCCTCCCTTTTATTACGAAATCTGGAGTACGTTGTTTGTGGCTCCTCTGGTGAAGAGAGGGGCCAAGGGCGCTCCCGGAAGGCGCCGAGGCTGCGGCGGAGGTCTCGAGAGCGTTACTCAGCAGTCCGTGGAGGCCTTCTGGGCCTTCTTTCGGGGGCGGCACAGAGGGGGGGGATGACTAGGGGAGGAGGAGGAGGAGGAGGAGGAGGAGGAGGAGGAGGAGGAGGAGGAGGAGGAGGAGGAGGAGGAGGAGGAGGAGGAGGAGGAGGAGGAGGAGGAGGAGGAGAGGGAGGACAATGAGAAGGAGGGCGCGGAGGATGGGGGAGGATGATGAGGAGGATGATGAGGGGAGGGGGGGGGGGGGATATCATGGCGGGGGCCGTGAGATTCCCCAGGTGTCATGGCGCCTCTTCTTGTTTCATGACGTCCCTGGCCCCCCCGCTGGGCCGCGCACATGCCGCCGGTCATGATTTGCATCCCCCCCCTCTTTGACGCCCCCCTCTTTGCCGCTCCCGATTCTTGGCTCAAGCTTTCCGGATGCTGGACATCGGTCGAGGGTCTCGAGAAGGCGCTATTTCCCTCGAAGCGTCGATCAAGACCTATTGTCGGACAAAACAATGGAGCGCAGCACTGCGGCTGCTCCGCGAAGGAATTCGATTAGGTGCGCAACTCGTCCCAAGCCACTACGTTGCGACTGCCAGCGCATGCAGAAAAGGCTGCCAATGGCAACACGCGCTTTCAGTACTGAGCGAGATGTGGGACGTGAAACTGGAGCCCGACGTCATCCGTACTAGAATTCAGGGCGAAGCGCGTGCGAGAAATAGAAGCAGCGACAGCGCCTCAGGCCTCCCAGAGAGCCCGCGGGCCGCCTGGAGAGCCTCCGGGGAGCTCATCGACGGCCCCAGGAGGCCCCTGGAGCGCTGGCCGACGGCTCCAGGACCCCCAGATCGTCCCAAGACGGCCTCACAGACGCCCAAGAGGGCCGAAGCCGACCCGACTGGAGCCCCATGACGGCACAAAAAGGCCTCAGAGATGGCCCCCGAGGACCGCGTGGGCGGCGCCAAGAGGCAATACTTGTGCGTTTTCCAAAGGTTTCGAGGGATTTCCCGTTCCCGCCATTCGGGGCCTGCAACGGCCCAGGATGGCCCTGGACTCTTCCCAAATCGCCCCTGCACGGTCCAAGAAGGCCCCAGGAGGCCCCCAGAATGCCAAAGAAGGCCCGTAGACGGCCCAAGAGGGCCCCAAGGCGGCCCAAGAGAGCTTCAAGTGACTCCCACGTCAGCCCCAACCGGGCCCCAGATGGCCCCAAGACGCTCCAAGAGGGGCCCCAGATGCCGCCCAAGAGGGCCGAAAGCGACCTCCGAGACGGCCCGAGACCCCCAAGATGGCCCCAAGACCTCCCTGCGCGGCCCCCAGCTGAGGCCTGCAAACGTGGCCCCTTCACTCTGACTGTGCCTGAAAACCGATTCCTCTTCACGCTTCCAGGTCCGTGCCCCCAGGGCTCCCCGACTGCTTTCCGGGGCGGCCCCCCAGACGTGGCCCTTGAAGCGCCGGCCCCACACGTGGCCCCAAACGGGACCCCCAAAGGCGGCGCGGCCCCCACACAGAGCCTCCGAAGGTCGCCCCTACCGCCCCAGTAAGCGTGGCCCCCGAACGTCACCCCCACGCGTAGCCCCCAGGCGCCCCCAAACGTAGCTCCCACCCACAGACCCCAACCATTGCCCTCAAACGTGACCGTCACATGTGCCTCCAAAGGTCGCCCCTACCGCCCCAGGGACGCCCGAGCTGTTCAACTTACGAGCTGGTCACCTACGGTGTGCGAGTCCCAGGCTCAGCACGCCGTGGATTTAATCCACGGGTTCTCACCCATCTATATTATCTATGCTACAATGCAGGGCCCTGCGCGTGCGAAAACTGCGATTCGGATCAAAATGGCGAAGCAGGCCCCTGCGAGCCCCAGCAGGCCCTGGCGCGCTCCGAGACGCTCCAAGATGGCCCAAGAGCGCTCCGAGACGCGCCCGGAGGCCTTCACGAGGGCCCCAAGACGGCCCAATATGGCTTCCGAAAAGATCCAAGAACGCTCCAAGACGCCCAAGATAGCCTCCCGACGGCCCAAGCGGCCTCCCAAGACGCTCCAAGTGGGCTCCAAGTCGAGCCCCAAGAGAGCCCGAACAAGGAAAAATCGCCCCAAAACCTTAGGGCAAACAACCATTGTTGTAATTACCGCGCTTTGCGTCCTCAACGCGTTCAACACGGCCATACATGCCCTCAAGATCGCCCCTTACGCGCCTCTGGAAGCCCCCATGACGGCCCCGAGACGGCTCCACGACAGCTCTTGAGGCGCCTATGGCAGCCCAAGAGGCAGCCATGACAGCGCCGAGACGGTCCCAAGACGGCCCAAGACGGCCCATAGACGGTCCCAAGACGGCCTTAGGCGCCCAAGACGGCTCCACAGAGCCCCAAGACGGCCCCAGAGGCGCCCGAGAGGGCCCCAGACGGTCCCAAGACGGCCCAAGAGGCACCCAAGACAGCCCAAGAGTGCCCCAGGAGGCCCCCATGAGGCCGAAACGAAGCGCTAAGAGGGCCCCAAGACGGCCCAAGAGTCACTCAAGGCATCCCCAAGAGCGGCCAAAGACGGCCCAACCCAAAGGCGTCCAAGACGGCCGCATACGGCCCCAAGACGGCCCAAGGAGCACCCAAGACTGCCCAAGAGGGTCCCAAAAGGCCCCAATGAGACAGAAAACCAACCCCGAGAGGCCCCCCAAACGGTTCCCAAGGAGAAGGAAGTGCCCGCCATCAGTGGCAGCATAGGGAGCGTTGCCCTCCTCCGCGGGTCCGGGGCGCGAGCGAAAGAGTGCCGAATAATGCACAGCAACATGGATGCTACTTCCTTTTGCTATTGCCTCCCAGCTCCAGGGCGCCTTTCGCCGCTGCCGCCCAAGTGAGGCGAGATACACCGGAGGCCTCTAGGGAGCGCAGTCCCCAACACAGCCTGATCTCAGAGGGGCGCGGAGACGGCGCCTAAATGGACGTGCCTCCCTGCGCGTCCACACTGAGCCCCCATGCGCAGTCCACCGTACGAGTGCCCTGGGTGGCAGCATCGATCTTCCCCGTGGGCACGAAGCAGACAGCAGCAGCGGGTAGAAGCACGCACCAAGCGGAACTGGCCATCAGCAGCAACCTGCAGCCGCAAGCAGCAAGAACACGCAGCAGCGGCCTCAAGCACTACCAAGAGTACACAACAGCGGCAGCAAGCAGCAGCACGCAGTAGCATGCGCGGAATGAGAGGTCGGGCCCCACAATCAGATGCCAGTTCGTGCAGATTTCGTGGACGGACCGCACGGACCAATCCTACCGACGTCGCCAGCCTCCTTCCGGTGCCCACAACCCACGACGATGACGACGACCACCACCACGACAACGACGTCGACTGCGACGGGTACGACGGCGGCCTTGCGGCGGCGACGACAACGACGCCGACGATGACGGCGACAGCGGCGGCCCTGCGACGGCCAAACTGCTGGAGCGCTGCTAGAGCTCGGACACGAAGGCGCGGTCTCGCTGCCGCCGCCCTGGCCGCCGCCGTGCTTATAGGTTTTCGGCAAAATCTCCGCCGTTCCTCCGAGAATCATTCCAGAAAGACGTCGTGGACGGAGTCCACGGGTCAGCCCTAGTCAGCTACAAGGTCCCGAAGACGGCCCAAGACGGTCCAAGAGTGGATCCGAGACGCTCAAAATGGCTTCAAGACGCCTTCAAGACAGCCCGGGACGCGTCCAGAAGGCCCCCAGAGCGCTCGAAGTGTACCTCCAAGAGGGGCCGCAGAAGCCAAAATCGTTGATTTTCTTTGTTTTTTCTGATGTTTCTGGCCTTCTCGCGTTTTCGGCTTTCCGACGCTCCAAGACCGCCCAAGAGGCCCCCCAGACCGTTCCGAGACGGCCCAAGAGGCCTTCAAGACGGCCCCAAGACGGCCCAAGAGGGCCCCAAGACGGCCCAGGAGTCGCCCAAGACAGCCTAAGAGGGCCCCAAGAAGGCCCCAAGAGAGGCCCCAGACAGGGACCCGGAACCGAAAAATTTAGGCCTCCACCCCAAGAGGCCCCCAGGAAGCCCCAAGACGCCCCAAAGAAACGCCGGGACGCTCCCAAGACATCCCCAGGAGGCCCCAGGACGCCCCAAAGAGGCTCCAAGAGGCCCCCCAGAGGCCGCCAAGCGCCCCAAAAGACCCCCAAGAGGCCCCAAAAGAGGGCCCAAGAGGCCCCAAGACGCCCCCAAACTGCTACCAAGAAGCCCCCAAACTGTCTCCCAGAGGCCCCCGAGAGGCCAGCCATGAGATCCCAACCATCATCCACGAGATCTCTTACCCATTACCCAGGCCCGCAGCGACATTGTCCGCAGGCCACTACAGCCAGTTCGGGGGCCCTACGTATACCAGCACCCGCACCCTTGGCTGTATCGGGGGCCTCACCGCTGCTCTCTCGGTTCTGCTGGCTTCGATCTGCCAGAGCTCTCGAGACGGCCATCTCGACGGCCCGAGAACCCCGAGATGGCCCCAGGACCACCCTGCGCGGGCCCGCTAACGTGGCCCCTTCACTCTGACGGTGCCTGAAAACCCTTGAATTTGCTGATCGCGCCCAGTCTCAGCGCGATTAGCAACAACCCATTCCTTTTCACGCTTCCAGGTCAGTGGCCCGGGGCTCCCCGACTGCTTTCTGAGATCGCCCCTGGACGTGGCCCCTTACACGTCGGCCCCACGCGCGGCCTCCAAACGAGACCCCCAAAGGCGGCCCCCACACAAAGCCTCCGAAGGTCGCCCCTACCGCCCCAGTAAGCATGGCCCCCGAACGTCAACCCCACGCGTAGCCCCCAGGCGCCCCCAAATGTGGCCCCAACACACAGCCCCCAACCATTGCCCTCAAACGTGACCGTCACATCTGCCCCCGAACCCCGCACGCGGCCCTCAAACATGGCCCCCAGCAGGGCCGCGAACGTTGGCCCCAACCATGACACCCTGACGAGACCCCCCAACGTGGCCCTCAAACGAGGCCCCCCAACGTAGCGCCCAAGTCTGGCCCCCACGCGTCCACCCCCCACATCGAACTTCTCGCGCACAGGGACTCTGTACGATCGTTCGGGCCCCCTTACTCTGATTGCGTCTGAAAACCTATGTGTTTCTGCTAATCGCGCCCAGGCCTCGCTCGATTAGCAAAAACACATTGCTTTTGACGCTTCCAGTGCTTCCGACACGTGCGCGTTCGGGACCAAAGCCTGGACCTGCGGGCCGTGGATTTTCCACGGGTTCACACTAGTCAGCTACAATGTTGGGATCAGCGCGTGCGAGAAGGGCGAGCAGTGGCAGCGGGCCTTGGCGCTGCTGAGCGAGATGCGGAAGGCTCAGCTGGAGCCCGACGCCATCTTTCCTACACTGGCCGGACCTGCGCTCGCGGAGCTGCCGATCGGTGGCAGCGGACCGGCCTCCTGCGAAGGCCTTTGCGAGCCCCAGCAGGCTTCGGCGCGCTTCCAAGATGGCCCAAGAGCGTTCCGAGACGCGCGAAGAGGCCCCCAAGAGGGCCCAGGCGGTTCCCAGACGGCCCAAGAGGCTTCCGAAACGCTCCAAGTGGGCTCCGCGACGAGCCCCAAGAGAGCCCAAGCTCCGACAAATCGTCCCAATCCCTTGGGAAAACGTTCAGTTTGGCAGTTTCTGGGCTTGCCTTTTTCATGGCGTCCGAGACGGCCATACAGGGTCCCAAGATGGCCCCAGGACGGTTCCTGAAGCGCCCCTGATTGCCCACGGGGTACCCAAAGCAGCCCCGGGAGCGGCCCAGGACGGCCCAAGACGACCCCCAGACGGTGCCCAGATTGCTCCAGAGACGCCCAAGGCGGTCCCAGGTCACCCCCAGACGGCCCCGCCAACGCCTCAGACGCCCTCCAGACGGCCCAAGAGGCTTCCAAAACGCTCCAAGTGGGCTCCGCGACGAGCCCCAAGAGAGCCCCAACTCCGACAAATTGTCCCAATATTTTTCGGAAAACGTGCATTTTGGCAGTTCCCGGGCTTGCTCTTCATAGCGTCCAAGACGCCCATACATGGGCCCAAGATGGCCCCAGGACGTCTCCTGAGGCGCCCCTGGCGGCCCACGGGGTACCCAAGACAGCCTCGGTAGCAGCCCAGGACGGCCCAAGACGACCCCAGACGGTGCTCAGACTGCTCCAGAGACCCCCAAGGCGGTCCCAGGTCACCCCTAGACGGCCCCGCCAACGCCTCAGACGGCCTCCAGACGGCCCAAAGACTTCCAGAACGCTCCAAGTGGGCTCCACGTCGACCCCCAAGAGAGCCCCAACACCGACAAATCGATCCATGGCCTTGGGAAAGCGTGCATGTTGGCAGTTCCTGGGCTTGCCCGCTTCATGGCGCCCAAGACGGCCATACAGGGGCCCAAGATGGCCCCAGGACTGCTCCTGAGGCGCCCCTGGTGGTCCACGGGGTGCCCAAGACAGCCTCAAGAGCGGCCCAGGACGCCCTTAGACGACCCCCAGACGGTGCCCAGACTGTTCCAGAGACGCACAAGACGGCCCCCAGACAAACTCCAGACGGCCCCGGACCGCCTCCACACGGCCCAAGAGGCACCCGAGACTTGGTAATCCCCAAACGTGGTGGTGACAACACCTGGCGGTGAGTCTCGGGCGATTTGGTGTCACCACCCGGTTTGGGGACTCGTGCGGTTTTCCGAGGATGTCCCGGACACTGGTGGGTCCAGGAGCCACAAAGCCCGGTGGTGACCCCGCGTCCCCACACCCAGCGGTGACCTCTTTGGGGGATTCCAGGTCGCCACCTGGTATCTCACCACCCGGTTTGGGGGCTCCCAAGAGGAGGAGGAGGAGGAGGAGGAGGAGGCGGAGGAGGCGGAGGAGGCGGAGGAGGCGGAGGAGGAGGAGGAGGAGGAGGAGGAGGAGGAGGAGGAGGAGGAGGAGGAGGGAGACAGCCCAAGAGGGCCCCAGGAGGCTTCCAGGAGGCCGAGGAGAAGCGCCGAGAGGCTCCCAACGACCCCCCGGGGGCCCCAAGAGCACGGCCCAGGGCGCACGGCCACAGACGGTCCCACATCGGTTCCCAGCGCACCCTGGTGCGCTCATGCTCGTTTGCGCTCATGCTTGTTTGGCGCTCCCTGCCAGATTTGGCCCAAAATCCCTCGCCCTTTTTGTCGGTCTGGAGCCCTCTCCGCGGCCTCCTGGGGCGACGCCGTGTTTCGCTCTTCTAGTGGCCCAGAATCGCCTCGCCTCGGGGGGGTCATAGCTTCGGGAGGTTTTTGAAACAGGCCCCAGAGGTCTCTTGGCGGGGCTCGGCCCTGCCCTATCATGATATAGGGCAGGTTTCCGATTCCATTTCGGTCCATTTTGGGCCATATCCTGCTCCTACCGGCGATCATTTCGGACTATCTTTGGGGCTTCATCGGGTCTTTTGGCGGGTCTCGGGCCTGCCCTATCATGATAGGGCAGGTGTTCGACGCCATTTGGGCCCACTTTGGGCCATCTCCCCATCGGCGCTCATTTCGGGCCACCCTTGTGGCTCCATGGGGTCTCTTCGCGGGTCTCGGCCCTGCCCTATACCATTAGGGCAGGGTTTCGACGCCATTTGGGTTCACTTTGGGCAACACCCCGTCACCCCGCAACCCCGCAAGTGGACGTAGTCCAGGGGTCAGCCCTAGTCAGCTACAGCGCTGGGATCAGCGCTTGCGAGAAGGGCGAGCAGTGGCAGCGGGCGTTGACGCTTCTTAGCGAGACGGGTGAGGCAACGCTGGAGCCCAACGTCATCATCTCTACGCTTCTTGGACCCGCGCGTGCGGGAACGGTTCTCGTCTCGGACGGCTCTGCGAGGCCCCCGCCGCCCCCGGGCGGATTCAAGGGCCATCTGAGGGCCCACAGAGCTCGCGCTGACGGCCGAAGACTCCTCGAAGACGGCCGCAGCGCTTCGCAAGTGCTCTGCTCGAGTGCCCACAGAAGCTTCTGTCCGCGGACGACTTGTATGCACCGTGCCGCGTTGGCGTCTACCGAGGCTTCGTCGATCCTCCACCCACGCATGGTGCGATACATATGTAGCGCTTTGGGCCCCAGGCCACGCTAAACTAGGCTTCAAGACGGTGAGCGGAGCGCCCCGTCGTTGCGAGATTTGCGTGTTGGTTGCTCCTGGCTCCTTCCTCCTCCTGTGACCCTCCTCGCTCCTCGCTTCCTGGCCCTCGCCAAGTGCTGCTCAAAGAACCATCCTCGCTCCTGGCGCTGATCCAGGTCTGCTCCCGCACCTCCTACTCCCTGGAAGGCTCCCAGTGAGCATTACGACAGGTGAGCCAGCGGTCCTAGCCCGACGCCATCGTGACAGCCTGTCGGCAGCACTTCCTTGCCCACCAGGTGAGTGGGATGATTTCGCGAGCAGTGAAGTTAACAACAGATTGTGAACAAAAATTTAACTACACCCAAATACTGCACCACGCAACTCACGCAACATAGATTGAGCCGCGCAGATTGAACCACTGGGATTTCACAACATGTATTTCACCACATCGGGTGCACAACACATATTCTGTTTTATACAAGGGAATTCGTACTACCCCCCTGGATTATCCGCCCGCCATCTTGTATTGCAACGTACATGTGATTCTGCCCCACCGCTCATTCTAGATATGAAGTCGTATCATTGCCGCCAAGCCGTCATCGACCTCCCATCACCCTTTTCAACAAAAAACAACAGGCGCACACTCGAGTATCACACATCGCCAATGTTCTACAATCCTGCGCAGCAGACTGGACGACGTGCACACACGCGCGTCGTCGCGCGCACACGCGCGTCATCGCGCGCGAACGCCGCAATCCTTCAAAAACCTTATGTGTCGTGAGTATTTCAAAAGCGAACGTCCCGTTTTTATATATAAAAAGCATGGTTCGGAGCATCAGTTTTCGAACAATGTTCGCGCGCTCTTGCAAATCCTTGAGAAAACAATTTTTGTCTTTCAGCACGTTCATCCAAGTCGACCAAATGGGCCTCTCGCGCGTGCATGCCGAATTCACTCGAGCGCCCTTGCGCGCGTGGTGGGGATGCACGGTCCCTGCCAGATCGTGCCATGCGGGCCATAATGGCCCGCATGGCACGAGACCTGTGAGGGGTGTGCCACAGTGCGCGGCCGACGCGCGCGAATGGCCCGGCCATTCGCGCGCGTCGGCCGCGCGCGGATATCGAAATCTGACAGAAACTTGGATCACCGACGCGAGGGCACCATCATCGTCATCATCGTCACCAGCACCTCTACTGTCATCAACGTGTCTACCGTTGCCGACGTCGCCATGACACCGCGCCCGCCGAGGTCACCGCCTCGCACTGTGAAGTGCCGGCGCGGCCTGCGAGACGCGCTGAGCAGTGCCACCGCGGCCGCGGCGGTCACGCCAGGCTAGCCCGCCTGTCCGCGCGCGAGCACGCGGGTGGGCGGGTTGGGACGACTGCGCGAGCAGTGGAATTGTCGATATCAGGTTTTCCACCTCTCATTGCGCCACATCTAGAGTCTCTTTTCCGAAAAGAGAAATAGGATTGACCCCTCCCCCCCCGGGGGGTTATCCGTAACGCATCGCGTCCTTCAGTTTACAGATGGCGTTGTCTTATCGTTCCTGTTACATATGAATTCACACTGTCCCAGCCAGGGCGGTTTCGACGACCCTCCCCTCATCCCTTACCGATAATACGGTGCGCGCGCATTCGTTGATCAGAGCTTATCAAAGTCGAGCCACTTGTGCACAACATGTAGCAAAGCCCGCACGCGCGCGTCGTCGCGCGCATGCACTCATTCGGTGTCATAAGAATTTCAATATCGAGTTCCCGAAACTGACTGTATTGTTCCGCGTCGTGAGTTATTTCAAAAAGTGCGCGCGCGCGTTCTTGTGAATTCTCAAGGCGACCATCGTTTGTTCAACGTGGTCATCAGATTCGACCAAGCGGGCCTCTCGCGCACGCGTGTCGGCATCGGTCGAACGCCTTTGCGCGTTTGCTGGGGGAGCGCGCTCTCTGCTTCACAATACCATGCGGGGCCGTCGTGCCCCTCGGCCGCGCGCGCATGTCGAAATCTCCCCGGCGCCTTCCTCGCCGACGCGTGGGCGCCATCATCGTAATCGACGTTATCTGCATCGGCGGTCTTATTGGCCGTGTTGTCGTCATCGTCTCCATCGTCACCAGCACCGCTACTATCATCACCGCGTCTGCCGATGCCGTCGTCGACGTTGCCATGATACCGTGCCCGCCCGAATCGCCCACTAGTATTGGAGAGCCCGCGCGTCAGCGCGGCTTGCGAGACGCGCTGGGGCGTCCACAGCGGTCAGCGCCATTATGGTCGCGTCTTTCGCGTCAGATCAGCTGGCCGCTCCGCGCGCGAGCCTGCGCGCGCAAGCACGGCCGCAGCGATGCGCCGGCCAGCGCCCAACAGACATCGCAATCGCAGCCGCATGGGTCTCGCAAGCCAAGTTGCGGGTGGGCGCGCAGGACGATTGCACGAACATGGGAGGTGCAATTCGAACGCCCTTGCGCGCGTGTTGGGGTTGGGGGCACGGTCCCTGTCGAAAGAGACAATGCGGGCCACCCGCGCCCGTCGGCCGCGCGCGCATGGCGAAATGTTTCCAAAATTTCCATCACCGACACGTGGACACCATCATCGTCATCGGCGTGGTCATCATCGGCGCCATCCGCGGGGTTGTCATCGTCATTGTCATCGTCGTCATCAGCATTGCTACTATCAGCATTGTGTCTGCCGTTGTCGACGTCGCCATGAGTCACCGACTCGCATTGATGCGCCAGTGCGGCCTGCGAGCTGCGCTGGGAAGTCCCCGGCGGTCAGCACCGCCGCGGCCGCGTCGGTCGCGCCAGACTAGCTGGTTGCCTTGCGCGCGAGCTTGCGCGCGCTAGCGCAGCCGCCGCGATGCGCCAACCAACGCCAAACAGTCATCGCAATCGCCGCCGCCGGGGTTATGCAGACCAATTTGCGGGTGGGTCGGCGGGATGTTGGCATGAACCTGGGAGGTGGTCGCGCGCGAAGGGGTCAAAACCAATTGCACCCCACAGACTGCACAACGCCAGTGCTTGGAATCACGGTTTGGGGGCAACGCTGGCTAACATGGTAGTTTGTGGTCTTCGCAAGGTCCGGGTGCCGGCAGGCCCCGGAGGCTCCCCGAATTCTATTAGAAGACAGTTTCGGAGGCCCCCGTGAGAGCCCCAAGACGGCCCTCGAGGGCCCCAGCATGGTCCAGATGGCGCCCAAGACGGCCCAAAAGAACCCACCATGCCCCCCCAAAGGGGAGCTCGAATCGACATGTCCCGCCTTCCGTTCCGGGACGATCCCAGAAACCGCCGGCAGTCCCCCAAGAGGCACCTCGGAAACCCCAGGAGGCCCCCAAAGCGCCCAGAACAGGCCCCGACGGGCCCCAAGAGGCTTCAAGAACCGTTTCGATGAGGCTTCCGAGGAAAGACCCCTAGGGAGCCCTGTGAGCGCGCCGACTACCCAAGAGAGCCCCATGAGCGAAGCAGACCAGACGTTCGGCCACACGCGCGCCGAGGCCAAGTAGACACGGGAGTGTTGTTTTTTGTGTATCATGCCTCTGCCTTCGCTCCCTTTGCTCCTCGCTCCACGCGCATCGCCTCCTCCCCGCTCTCCCCGCCCCTCGCCCCCTTCGCCTCGCTTCTCGCTCCTCTGTTCTCACGCCACCTCGCTCCTGCACCTCTCTCCTGGCATTCTCCCTTTTCCCTCCTGGCTAGTGGTGCCTGCCTCCCCTCTCCGCTTCGGCTCTCCCTTATCCCTCCTCTCTCCTCTCTCTCTCATATATATATATATATAAATATATCCCTTTCGCTCCCTGTTCCTCGCTGATCGCTCATCGCGTCCCGCACATCCCCCCTTGATCTTGATTCATCGCTCCTTGCTCTTCTTCGCTCCTCGCTCCACTCACGAGCTGCAGGTTGCGTTATCTAGCAAGGGTACCAAGAAGCAGCATTAAGCAGCATCAAGCAGCATTAGCGAACAACAGCAGTCCGCAGCAGGCAAAGGTAGCACAGCAAAAGTAGGCAGCAGCAACAACATGCCGCAGGCAGCATCACACTGAAGCTGCAGGCAGCAACAGCAGACGTGAAGTTCGGACCCAACGCCAGGACGAAAGCCTTTGAGCAACATCTCTGCCCTGGTCCAACGTGCCATCTCGGACTTGTTTCGTGGCCAGAAGGCCACGAGTCAGCCTTTGTCTCTACTACATTGCAGGGCCCAGTGCGTGCCAGAAGGGCGCAGGCTCCAATGAGTCAAAACCGCCCCGGGCTGGCCCCGGGCCGCCCCGGGCCGCCCAGGCAGGCTCCAGGACATGCCGAGAGGGCCCCCAGAAGCCCCCAAGACGGCCCCGGAGAGCCCCGGCACGCTTAAAGATGGGCCCAAGGCGCCCGAGATTCGCCCCAGACTGCCCAAGAGGCGTCCAAGACGCCCGAAGAGGCCTCCCAAGAGGCCTCCCAAGAGGGCCCCGAGCGACAGACATCGTCGATTTCTATTGTGTTTTTCGATGTTTTCGGCCTCCTCGCCTCTTCGGCTTCCCGACGCTCCAAGACGGCCCAAGAAGTCCCCCCGACCGCTCCAAGACGGCCGAAGAGGACCCCAAGAGAGCCCCAAGACGGGCCAGGAGGGCCCCAAGACGGTCCCAAGACGCCCCAGGACGGCCCCAGGACGGCCCAGGAGGCGCCCAAGACGGCCCAAGAGGCACCCAAGACGGCCCCAGGAGCGGCCCAAGACGGCCCAAGACAGCCCAAGAGGCGCCGAGGCGGGCCTCAGACGGCCCCAAGACGGCCCAAGAGGCACCCAAGACGGCCCGAGAGGGCCCTAAGAGCCCCCCCGGGAGGCCCAAAAGAAGGCCGAAGAGGCTCCGCAACGGCCCCCACGAAGCCTTCAGTGGCTTCAGAATTCCCTCCAGGAGCTGGAGCCCGACGCCATCATGATTGCCTTTCGGCCCTGCAGCCGCACCCCCCCGCGCTTGCCCAGAGACCCCTCGCCACGTCGAGCTGATATCGTGGACGGAGTCCACAGGTCTGCCCTAGTCTATACTATATGGCCGGAGGAAGCGCGTGCCGGAAATCCAGTCAAATGCCGGGAAACGGCTCCGAGACGCTCCAGAGGCCGCCCCGACGGCGGCTCCGAGATGCCCCGAAGGCGGCCCAGGAGGGCCCCGAGACGCGCAATGATCCGGCCAAGACGCCCAAGATTGGCCCAAGACGGCCCAAGAGCTCCCCAAGACGGCCCAATAGGCCTCCCAAGAGGCCTCCCAAGAGAGCCCCGAGAGGCCAAACTCGTTGATTTTCATTGGTTTTCACGAGGTTTTTGCTTCCTCGCTTTTCCGGCTTCCCGACGCTCCCAAACCCTCCCAGAGGCATCCAAGACCGCTCCAAGACGGTCGAAGAGGTCCCCAGCAGGACCCCAAGACGGTCCAAGAGGGCCCCAAGACGGTCCAAGGCGGCCCCAGGACGGCCCCAGAGGCGCTCAAGACAGGCCAGTGGGACCCCAAGATGGCCCGCAGAGCGGCCCAAGATGGCTCCAAGACAGCCCCTGACGGCCCCAGAGGCGCCCCAGACAGGCCAACGGGACCCAAGATGGCCCGAAGAGCGGCCCAAGATGGCTCCAAGACGGCCCGAGGAACCGCCCAGAGCTCGCCAAGACGGCCCAACAGGCCTCCCAAGAGGCATCCCAGGAGAGGCCCGAGAGGCCAAAATCGCTGCGCTGATTTTCATTAGTTTCCCCGAGGTTTTTTGCTTCCTCGCTTTCTCGGCTTCCCGACGCTCCGAAACCCTCCCAGACGCATCCAAGACCGCTCCAAGACGGTCGACGAGGTCCCCAAGAGGACCCCAAGACGGTCCAAGAGGGCCCCAAGACGGTCCAAGGCGGCCCCCAGACGGCCCCAGAGGCGCCGTAGACAGGCCAACGGGACCCCAAGATGGCCCGAAGAGCGGCCCAAGATGGCTCCAAGACGGCCCGAGGACCGCCCAAGAAGGCCCTAGGGGGCCCCAAGACAGCCCAAGGAGCGCGATAGACGAGCCCAGAGAGGCCCAAGACGCCCCCCAGGAGCCCAACAGAGGCCCCCAAGAGGTGCCCAAGAGGTTTCCAAGAGCGCCCCAAGACAGCCGAAGAGGGCCCCAAGACGACCCAAGAGACGCTCAAGACGGCCCACGAGGGCCCGAGGACAGACTCAAGAGGGGGCCTAGAGGGGGACCACGGACCGAAATTCCGAGCCTTGTGCCCCAAGGGGGCGCCAGGAGGCCCAAACAGGCCCCCAAGAGGCCCCCAGGGGCCGCCAAGAATCCCCCGAAGAGGCTCCAGGAGGCTCCCAAGGAGCCCAAACGAGGCCCCAGCAGAGGCCCCAACAGCTTCCAATGAACATGCTGCTATGTATCGTCGTCGCCTGGCGGCAAACCCCGTCACCCCGCAAGTGGACGTAGTTCACGGGTCAGCCCTAGTCTCTACTACATTGCAGGGCCCAGTGCGTGCCAGAAGGGCGCAGGCCCCAATGCACCAAAACCGCCCCGGGCTGGCCCCGGGCCGCCCCGGGCCGCCCAGGCAGGCTCCAGGACATGTCGAGAGGGCCCCCAGAAGCCCCCAAGACGGCCCCGGAGAGCCCCGGCACGCTTAAAGATGGGCCCAAGACGCCCGAGATTCGCCCCAGACGGCCCAAGAGGCGTCCAAGACGCCCGAAGAGGCCTCCCAAGAGGCCTCCCAAGAGGGCCCCGAGCGACAGAAATCGTCGATTTCTATTGTGTTTTTCGATGTTTTCGGCCTCCTCGCCTCTTCGGCTTCCCGACGCTCCAAGACGGCCCAAGAAGTCCCCCCGACCGCTCCAAGACGGCCGAAGAGGACCCCAAGAGAGCCCCAAGACGGGCCAGGAGGGCCCCAAGACGGTCCCAAGACGCCCCAGGACGGCCCCAGGACGGCCCAGGAGGCGCCCAAGACGGCCCAATAGGCACCCAAGACGGCCCCAGGAGCGGCCCAAGACGGCCCAAGACAGCCCAAGAGGCGCCGAGGCGGGCCTCAGACGGCCCCAAGACGGCCCAAGAGGCACCCAAGACGGCCCGAGAGGGCCCTAAGAGCCCCCTCGGGAGGCCCAAAAGAAGGCCGAAGAGGCTCCGAAACGGCCCCCACGAAGCCTTCAGTGGCTTCAGAATTCCCTCCAGGAGCGGGGGAGCGGACGATAGGCGACAGGCACGCCGCGCTTGCCCAGAGACCCCTCGCCACGTCGAGCTGATGTCGTGGACGGAGTCCACAGGTCTGCCCTAGTCAGCTACAACGCTGTGATCAGCGCGTGTGAGAAGGGCGAGCAGTGGCAGCGGGCTCTGGCGCTGCTTAGCGAGATGCGTGAGGTGAAGCTGGAGACCGATGCCATCAACTCTTGCAGCGCAGGGCCCCCGGCGTGCGAGAGGTGCCTGTGCCACTGCTGACCTCTCGCAGCCCCCCGCGAGAGCCCCATGCAGCGACCCCCCCAGGAGCCACTGGAGGCGGCTCCAGTGGCACCACCAGTCCCCGCAGGCAGTCCTCACGACAGCTCCAGAGGCCCCCCCAGACCCTAACCTTCCAGAGAGCTATTTTTTAGCACGGGAGGCCTAAAAACCTAAAAAACAAACGAAACAGCCTAAAACCAAGACATAGGATAGCTCTGGGCTCGGTTTTTAAGTCGCGTGCTATTTTTTTGCCCTCCTGCAAGGTCAGGGGAGCTCGCCCCCAGGGTGGCTCCAGCAGTGTCCCGGTGTCTCCGCGGGTTGCCGGCGGGCAGCGCGGCCGTGGAAGCCTGTGCGGAGTTGCGCGGCTGTCGCGCTCGCCCCGTCGGGGCATGCGGGCTCCGAGCCCCGGAAAGGCGGCGCAGAGGGAGGCCCCGACACGCCTCGAAGGCGGCTCCACTCCTCCTCCTCCTCCTCCTCCTCCTCCTCCTCCTCCTCCTCCTCCTCCTCCTCCTCTCCTCCTCCTCCTCCTCCTCCTCCTCCTCCTCCTCCTCCTCCTCCTCCTCCTCCCTCCTCCTCCTCCTCCTGCCTCCTCCTCCTCCTCCTCCTCCTCCTCCTCCTCCTCCTCCTCCTCCTCCTCCTCCTCTTCCTCCTCCTCCCCGAGACCGCGCCAGCACACCCGCACACGGCCCCATGAACAAGGAGCGGCACCGAGAGGCCCCCATGGTAGGGACGCGAGGAGGGGCGCCGCGAGGGCCCCAATGGGAGCTGCCGCACCCAGACCTCCTCCCCACAACAGCTCCAGAGGGGCGCCCAGGTGGCTCCCAGGAGGCCCGGGAGGCCCCACGGGAGCAGGAGAGGTCCTGGCGAAGGCCCCCCCTTGGGGCCCAGGGTCCCAATGTGGCCCCATGAAGCAGCCCACGTGCGCAGCCCGCGAGGAGAGACCACTTCACCTGTGCTCGCCGCGCTGTCCCGCTCCGGGCTCCTCGCCCGCTGCTCGTCGCTCCTCTCTCCTGGCGCACTGCTCGTCCTTGGCATCGCTCGGGCGTGTGCTTTTTTCCTTCGGCGAGGACCATCGGGGAGCATCCTTGATCATTTGGCGAAAAAACCACGCACGAAGCCAAAAAAACACAGGGAATGGACGTCCGAGCGATGGCGAGCGTCTCCCCCTCACTCCTCCTCGCTCTCTCTCTCTCTCTTGGCCCCTGGCGCCTCGCCCACCGGCAGGGCACCTCACGGCCTCGGAGTGGCCCGGCGCGCATCGAGGGACGGGCCCCGGACCGGGTGGCTTCCGTACGGCCCCGAGCATCAAACGGCCGTAAGCGGCAGCGGGCGGACGAGCAAGTAACGAAGCAAGCGACACAGACATCAGACGACAGGACCACGAAGTGCTGGCCACCAGACCAGCAATTCTTCACCCTTCGCGCATCCCCAACAACTTGCCCGTTCGCGACCTCCCGCCGCTGGCGCTTCCGCCTGCGGCTGTAAAAAAAACATCCCCAACAGCCTCCCCTTTCCTCGTCGCCACGTGCTGTATGTCATTCCGCGGCGATCGGCTGCTGACCCCCCTTTGTCGTCCGATTCTACACTCTTGACTGCGGCTATCGGCTGCTAACCCCCCTTTCTCGTCGCCACAGGGTGCGATTTCCGAAGGAGGAGGAGTTGCTATGGACCCCAGGGCCACTGGGTCACCACCAGGCGGCCACTCCTGTCGGCAGACTGCGACAGGTCCTGTTTCACCGATGCAGTGGGCCACTGGGGCGGACTGTTGTTACCTCTGGGGTTGAGGTGCCCCCCCACCACCGAGATAGTTCCTGCGTTCGCGTGGGCCTTTAGCCCGTTCGGCCAGCTGAAATAATCCCGTCGACGGTTTGGCCGCAGCGGCGGCCCGTGGTGCTCCGAGGGGGCTCGCTCAAGGCGCTTCGCCCGCTCTCGGCAACACTTTCAGTTTGCCCGCGACGTATGCGGGCCGGGACACACCGGACGCTGGCCTCAGCCACTCCGGGTGCCCGTCCTTTGGAGTCGGCAACATGCAGTGGCTTCCACTTCGTCGCCCGTAGGGACGGCGGCTTCTGACCCCCCTTTCACATGGGCGTGTTGACAGTACGGTCGGCCGCTTGTCGGCATTGGCGGACACGGACGTCGATCAAGGCACCGTTCTGGCGCTTGTGTTAGACGTCGGCTACAGTCACAGGAGTGCCTTCGGGATGCGCAGGCCGCATACCGCCTTTGCACCAGAGGCCATCGGGCGCTCTCCTTTGTGGTCGGCCATCTCCAGGCATTGGCCCGAACCCCCCCAGCGGCGTACAGTTTGGCCGACGTTCCAAGTGAGTGAGTGGTTTTGGCACCTTCCGCCTGGCAGTCTGGCCCCACCTGCGGGTCCGACCTTTCCGCCCTCCCCACCCCCGCTGGCATACGCTCAGCGGCCGGTTCTTCTCATTTGCATCCTTTGCTGACACATGTCCAACGATTTTAATTTTCTGCTGCTGGCACATGCTCAGCTGCTTCTGGTTGCCACCTCGGCCGGCACTTGTCCTGCGCCGTTAATTATTTGCATTCCCGCGCGCTGTGCCTCAGCCTCGTTCGCACCGCCCTGTGGACTTTTCCTTGCGGGCCGCGGATCAAAAAAAAACATCCCCAACAGCATCAGTGCCTCAGGTCTGCAGGTGCATCGGCTTCCCTGGGCGTTGCAGACCAGCCCTCCAGCGTCACCAGCTGCTGCTGCTGCCTCAGCCGCAGTTTCTGAGTGCTGGCCCGGCCGGCGTGCTTCGCTTAGTAGCTAATTTAGGCTGGCCCGCGCCCCGGACTACCCTCTCAGCGACTGCTTCACGCGTCCGCCCGCGACCGAAAAAATATCCCCAACAGCTTTGGCTGCGTATAGCTCCCTCCGGATCAGTACTCCCTTCAGGAGTCTCGGCGTGTGCGACTTCGGTGGCCCCATTTCCATGCGCCAGTTTCCTGGTCAGTGAGTTCTTCCTGGCCTAGCTGTTGTCAGCGTTCCTTCGTGATGGTGCTCCTGGCTACATCCTGGGATCGCGCCCGCGCCATTTTGCCTGCGTTTCAATTTCGGTTGGCTAATTATGCATGCGCTCGCTCCTGGACCTGGTTCCTGGCCGCTGCAGCCCGCACCACCTCGCGCAGTCCGTTCAGCTCAGCTCGGGAGGCAATTAGTTTCGCGCGTGGGCCGCCCGATTCTTGACGCTGCTGGCGCGCTCGCCTGCGGCCGCGACGAAAAAGTATCCCCAACAGCCCATTCAGAAACCCTGCGCATGAGAGCTGACAGGAAAAGGGACGAAGAAACACATTTAGGGAAACAAAGCGAGCAACCAGAGTGAGCCGAGAGATCTCTGGGAGCAAGGGGGTGGCCTTGGAAGGCCTCTTCGGGCCATCCCTTGGGGCCGCGTGGGGGTGAGGGGAAAAAGAGGAGGAGGAGGGGGAGGCGGAGGAGGAGGAAGAGGAGGAGGACGAGGACGAGGACGAGGAGGACGAGGACGCGGATGAGGACGAGGACGAGGAGGACGAGGATTAGGATGAGGACGACGCGGACGAGGACTCATGGAACCATCTAGAGGTGTTCGTGCAGCTGGTGTTGTTGCTGCTGCTCTCTGGGAGTTCTGGGGGCCCTCATGAAACCCTTTTGGGATCATCTTGAAGGCCATCGATTACTGATGGGGGGGGTCCCCAACTCAGCTCCCCCCTCAGCTGCCCGCGAACCGCCTCTTGTGGCTCTCTTGGAGCACTCTTGGGCGCTCTTGGAGCGGTCTTGGGGCCGTTTGGAGCATCTCGGGCGCCATCTTGAGCCAGCTTTGGCTATCTGAGCCATCTTGGAGGTCGTCTTGGAATCTCTGAGGCCGCTCGGGGGCCTCTTGGGGCCGTCTTGGGGCCCTCTTGGGACTCTCTTGGGACCCTCTTGGGGCCCAAGAGTGGCTGTCTTGGGGCTCTCTTGGGAGCCCTGGAGCGCTTCTTGGAGCCGTCTTGGAGACCATCGATCAAAGGATGGGGGGTCATCGATTTGCCTCCCCCCATCGGGGGCCACGATCCTCGTGAGGGGTGTCAAAAATTAACCCTCCCAAGGGCCGAACAAGAACCCTCTGACACATCGCAGGGCGCCCCGTCCAGGTCCAGGGGAGGGGGTAGGGGGAGGGGTAAACCCTTCCCCGAAGGGGAAGAAGAGGCTGTGGATGTGGAAAGCAAGACATCGTTAGACCACCTGTCGCCCAGAAGGCTGGTGGGGTTTCATGACAAAACGAAGTCGAACAGACAAGTGGTCATCACCCTTGCATGCGAGTAGGCTTTCGTGGCCACTGGGATGATAGGATCAGATCGGGCCGGTTGCCGTGGATGTTGTCAACGGATCAGCCCCAGTTCAGCTACAACGCTGGGATCAGCGCGTGCGAGAAGGGCAAGCAGTGGCAGTGGGGTTTGGCGCTGCTCAGCGAAATGCGGGAGTCCAGGCTGGATCCCAACGTAATCAGCTACAACGCTGGCATCAGTGCGTGTGCGAGATGCGGCCCGTGGCAGCACGCGCTGCTGCTGCTCGGCGAGGCGCGGGAGAGCAGCCTAGAGCCGAACAAGATCAGTTACAAGTTGGGCATCACGGCGTATGAGAGGTCACCTGGCGACTCGGCAGGATTCCCTGGCTCCCTTCAGATCGGTCTTTCGCCTGTTCAGGCATCTCGCGAAGCGCCGTGGTCGTGTGGGGTCATGCCAGGCAGCCGGCGTGATAATGCAGGCGCACATAATTTTTCCAGCGGCCATCGCACAGGAGGACTTCTGTGCATACCAGTTCCCATGGGCCGATGCTCTTCTGAGATGAGGCGTCATCCCTGGCCACCGCCTGGGGGGTCGATCTTCGGGGATTTTGGCAGGCGTCGAATGTGGACAGACTTTTGCCCCTCCCCCCAGGGGCCGAACATACCCATATCCTCCGCCTGTCGAGGCCCCCGAGGAT